CTTTATTTGGAACGCTAATGCACCTATAACCGGTTTCCCGTGAGAATTACAGTGCAGTCGAACAAAATTCCAAACGGAAAATCGCAAGCTCGCGTGCTTATATAGCTACAACGTCTGCCGTTTTAATGGACGCTCGCGTTAATAATGCCGCTGATGTAAGCACTTTCCGAGTTTACCGCGCTACGACTCTCGGTAAGAATCCCTAACATCGAATACGATAAGCGGCAGAGAACGATAACAGCCATTAGGAAAGATAAAGCGTCCGCATCGCGATAGTACTAAGGCATCCGAAAATTACCCGGTATAACAAGCGCAATTGCGAGCGCTGTTAGGACGCTGTTTATCGAGACTTGAATTTTCCCTTGCGTGAAAAACCGTGGTTTCAGTTACTTAAAGTTCGATCTTGTCGCGCGCGGTCGACCGAGGACGAAAATTTACCATCACGCCGGTAAAACGGCGGAACGGCTCGTTTATACAGCATTACGAAGCATAATCTAACGCTATTACGAAGTGGTAAGAAAAACGTTGCCGCCTGATGCGGAGGAGGAACTCATTGTTTCACTAGGATAATGTCCCCGCTCACCGTCCTTTTCTTCTCTCTCTCTCTCTCTCCCTCTCTCTCTCTCTCTCTCTCGGTGCCAAAAGATCCACGCCAGGAATTCGTCGATGTAATTTCGCGCGAGCGATAGAGCGACAGGTTGGAATTTGCGCAAGCGTTCTTTTGTCGTCGGCAATATTACTATGACGGATTCTTGGCTATGAACGCAGCCAAGCTATTTCACAGCGAATAAGAACGGATAAGAGATCGTATGATTATTATGGCGATCGATCATATTCGCCATTCAAACTTCGCACGCGAATAGGATATATAACACCAGAATCGATACTACAATTCTTTAATACCTTCTCCAGCACGATTGCTACAATCGCTCGTTTAAAAAGTGTAGCGTATAGTTCTAACATTTCAACAGCTTCTGATTCGAGAATCTATTATTGATGAAGAAATATGACGAAATATCGAAATATCACACTGGGCTAACGGAAAATTTAGTGCAATCCGCTCTCCACTCTAGTGAGAATTACGGCTTTTGGATACACCATAATGAGAATGGGGAAAAGGATCGAGAAGAACGAAGAAAGAAGAATCGACTGTTGGGGGAGTAAAGTAAACTTTTCTTTGTAAATAAACGTGACGGGTACCTGCAGACCGGTCGCGACTGTGTAATAAGACCTCGATAGCACCCGGTATTGGCAAGCCTTGATTTATTCCGGCCAACCGAGACGGGAGCGTCGGAACGTGTACGGTAAAGGAAAGCGGGTGGCGACCCGTAGTCGAGTACACGTATCCTTTCTTCTCCGGTCGCGAAAAGCGTGGGATTGCATAAGCTGCCGTTAGAATCCCTATATTCCCCGGCTTTCTCGACTTTATAACGGAACGTTCGTCTGCGAATGTGGTCGTCGTCGTCGTCGTCGTAGAAAGACCAATCCCAAAAATCCCGCGTCGCACGTACAACCCTCGAAAAGCGACGTTCCCGATCGACTTCGTTCCCGATCTAATCGCTTGAATATTCTTCCCGGCATGGCAGCCTCTCGGTAGTCGGATGCAATACATATCGCATCTATGCGAAAATTTCGCCATTTCTAAGCCACATCAGGATCGGCATATCCTTTCTTGGATATTAAGTGAATATAGAATGAAAGCCACGTTCGCGAAGAATGTGGTGCAATACGTAGCGCACTAGCTTCTTCGCTGACAGGCGATCAATTAGATGATAGCATTAAAAAAGATACGCGGAAATTTTAAAATCTTCTTTATCGTTTTATTTTACAAGCGATCTTTCCATTTCGTATATTAACCGGAACGACGAAGAAACTATCTCTCTCTCCCTCTCTCTCTCTCTCTCTCTGTCTCTTGTATTAATTTCGCGCTCTTTTTGTACTGGGCCGACATCAATCGATGGGCCATTATGGAAATCCGATTAGAATGTGGCCCGAGGCTCGTAAAATTCACAACGGCAAAGCTCAATGTAGACTGGCAGTGAAACGAGAGACTGGGTGCTGGCACAAGCAGTTTACGCCCTCGGAAAAGCCGCCATCGCTCGTGGAATTTAAGTTCCTAACTATTTGAACGTTTGCCAGAAATAAAGCCCCCCCGGACAGTGCCGTCGACCAGGAATTATTTCTTAAGTTCCGTAACGCAACTTTATTTCTGCGTAAGCGCGAGCCTGCTTGCCGATGTTGAAGCGGCATTTAAAGCCGCTATACCTAATAATGAACAACGCGTTGTTTTGGCTCGCGCGCGTAATAACATAAATAGCTCATCGGGAGAAAATGATGACTTTTTGATTAATGGAAGGATAAGAACGAAAGAAAAGTAAAGTCGCGATAATAAATGATGCCGCTGCCTGTCGCAACTTTTACGGGTCATTATAGAAATCTTTGCACGCGCCGATAAGGGCAGAACGGCGAGTAAGCCAGATGTAGAAATGCGCGAGAGAAAATGAAAAAAAGGAAAGGAAAGGGTCGGGAATTCTCGTTCGCTAACGAACGCATCGGTACGTTCTCAAAGGAAATCATTACTCGTGATTTTTTTTCCATTTGTTCAAGAACGAAGTAATAAATTGAGAAAAGTCGTGATACCGCGCAAGATTCGAAGCGAGAGTGCCACAAAGTTTTACGACGCGTAAATCACAGAATAAAAATATAAGGAATGCACATGGAAAGAGATTCGTATTAGAAAATCATATTGGCAAAGGGAACGAAAATATGTCTTGGTCAAGCTGTTCCAGCGTATTCCAAATCCAACTTCTCGAGAGATTCTTAATGTACAAAAGAGAGATCTTCACTAGCCATATCGATACTCGGCCGAAAGTTATGGAAAATGATACGTTTGAACGAACTTTATAACTTAAAACGAAAGCCGAACGATATGTAGGAGAATAATACACCGCAATCGTTCGTTCCACCAGTTGGGTCCGCGAAATATTCCGTTTATTTCACAGAACACAGAATTTATTTCAGCTCTGTACCTGGTATTTCGGTCAGGATATTTCATAACCCTCTATTGCAGCTACGGTGACTGAAAAATATTTCGATATCTGCATATCTATATTGATTTCATCTCTCACGCTGCTATTTCTGTCTCTTTTCTACCCTCGTCTTCTCTCTATCTCTCCATCTTTCGCCACGTACTTCTTATCATCATGTTTCTTTTCCGATGTAGTGCAGTCTAACAAGCGCGCGCGATTTGTCAAATCGAGATTTTACCGGTATATGTACAAGACTACGGTAAAGTATGTATACGAAACTTTAAAATACATCTTATATCCAATTAAATATCTTCCTCCTTGCATATGTCAAAAGGTTTAACTATGTCCACCGTCGTACAGATAGATCCGATTATAATTGAGTTTTAAAAACTTTTTAAAAAAGTAGGAAAGAACAAGTTTTCTTGTATCGACCAATAAAGACGCGAAACTTAACTATCTGCTGAAAAAAGGAATAGCGCATTTCTGAAAAGAGTCAATTTTGAAGCGCTCGTCATCGTAAATTTATACTTTGCGACATATGTCACTCATGCTCGTGATACCGTAATTAATTTACAGTTATTCTGTGTGTATAAATATATATTTTATATATATATATATATAATAGCTCTTATTCAAATATATAAATTTTGAAACTGCAAGTGTTCCAAGTTCTCTTTTCAGCGTGCGCCGGTCTCATTAATCTCGGCCGAACTATTCGCTCAACTATACGTACTGAGGAGCTAAAACCGTCAGGCTATAGAGATATCATCGGACGTTGTAGATGAAAGCCCGAATTTGATCTTCAAAGTGTCTATTAGTCTTACGTCCGTTATTAATCAAATATAGCTGACAACCGCGATATTGCCCGCTATCAATCAATCATTGATAGTCGGCCGAGTCAGTCACGAATTATCCGGTGCAAGCCTGTTATGCATAGATGATAGATGATAATGAGCTTACTACGCGTTAGAACAAGTTACACTCCGGTTATTGAAGTTAAATATCCTACGCACCGCAACTAAAGTAAGACAATGTTGTAACCGGAGCATAGTTCGACGTATTTCTGTATTCTTGATTTTGTTTAACGTACGTGCAACTCGTATATCAGAGACTGGCGCGCAACTGCATTCTCAATAATAAAAGAAAAATACGGACACGCGCGAACGGAAAAAGAGCGAAAGGGTGGGACGAGGGAAAGGGATACGAGTAAGGGATGGGACTCCAATTAAGTGGCGTGGGACGTGGGTGCCACGAGAACATCGTTACAGCATCGAGATCGCCATTATGCCACGAAGAGGACGACCCTAACGACGTGGCTACCGTGATTTATGGTCCAGCGAAAACGCGCCACGGGAGTCACATGGATTATGTATCTACAAAGAGCGACTTTCTACTTTAGCGGTACTTTATAAGAGTAGATTAAGAGAATAATGCACACACATGGCCTTTCATCTTTACCATTAGCATAATTAGCATAATTAGTCCTCTCTCGCGTTAAAATGCGAATACCTACGAATTTACGCGATGCCGAAATAAACGTCACAGCGATTATACCAAAAATATAAAGCTTCGCAAATGATACAAGAATTACAACATAATTGATGATACAAGGGTATCTCCGCATATTCTCATTATTGAATTGTTTAAGCGCGATCTGGAATTATTTTAACGAAAACTGTTTAACACTCGACTTTAAATAATTTTCTAGTTTGTCGACAAATCTAATATACCTACATAATAATAATATATCTTTTCGTATTTTGACTTTTAATATCCGTAGTTTCCGGTAATAGGGACGCGCGGTTTCAAGACAACCTGTACAAACACGGTGATTTAGGAGCCGCAATGCAGTCATCAGATCAAAGTGCATATCGTTAGTATAGTAGTAGGAAATAGCAGCTCCTGATTGCTTCGAGGTTGCCAAGTCCCGGATGGTCAGATGAACACACGCGCAATGACGCGCTCACTTACCTGACACCGCTAGATGGACAGTTCTGATTAATGGTGGATGGGCGCTGACTTGACACTCGTAAAGGCCGGCATCGCGTTCCGTAGCGGAGCGCAGAAGCAATCGCCAGTCATTAGGCTTCTCAAAGGCCAGGGAGAATCTCGAGTCGCTCGCGTACGTGTCGAGGCCAATGGTGAGTAAATGAAGCTCCTCTCCCCGTCTACGCACCCAGGATACCTGTAATAAAAAAGAAGAGAGCAGCGCATGACGCGGTCCATCAGAACTTTCCCCGCGAAACTTTTAATTAAAGAATTGAGTAAAATAATAAGGGATGTAGGAGCATTTTCTTCTTTTCCATTAACAGTTAGTTAAAGTAATAAAATAGAAAACATACATTTCTATCGACACGTTCTTCCCCTGGTCAGCTGCTGGTGACCTCCGAAAATTATTAACTCCAGACTCCGGAAAGTCGCTACTCGCTTCTGAACTTTACACGCGATGTACAAGCGGGTGCAGACAAGGCATATTTATAACGCGGTCGACTTTCGTGAGTGAACGTATAAAAGTAGTCTTGTTCCTTTCGCGAAAGAATGAGAGAGAGAGAGTGTGTGCCAAGAACACTTTGCATAAATCATGCACATCGAAGCTAATGGAACAGTGTGCCATAAAAATACGACCGTATTGCCCGTAAATCAGAGTAAGTTATGCCGTTAACTGCTGTTATCTGACGCGAATATATGTCCGCATTTTAAAACCAATTGTATCGTTCCCCATTCATTAAATTACGAATAGAAGCTTTATGCGCAAAAGAGTTCTGACAGCTTCAATAAACTTAGTCAAGCAGATAAACTCACAAGATGTTTTTGGCATTAATTCCTTTTGTCGTGCCAAGACAGAAAAGTAATCAATGAACATTTTAAAAAAGTTTAAAAAAATCACGCCACGTGCACATGTTCGACAAAAAAAATGTGCGGAAAATATTGTATTAATATGTATTTTAATAAAATAGAAAATACTTAAAAAAAAACATATTAAGAAATATTTTATATATTATATATACATATAATTTTTTATGCATTTAAACCTGTTTTTTAATAAAAGTTATGATTTTAAACATTTGCGTCAACTGGGAATAAAAAGCTTATGTAAAGTATAAAATTAAATTCAGTCACAGTTCCATGCTTCAATATCCAATAAAATACATATAAATATTGTATATTTTGCGCTTATGAATATGTATCTATATAACTATATATTTTAATATAATCGAATCTGTAATATACATTTTTTCAGATAGAAGAATTTTTAAAGGCATAATAAGAAAGCATGATCCATATTAAGTTTATAACATATGTATGTATAATTAAGGAAATAGTTTTTATTAAAAGTAAAAAAAATTTAATAGGAAAAACTTGACCCTGTTATAACAATCCATGGTGTAATATCCTGACTGAACCATAAAAATTGTTGGACTGGAAAAAAATTATTATTAATAACCAGATATTGACGTCCTTTTTACTTTTTTGAAAAGATAATTTTACAAAGCTACATTTTTCTGGTACAAAGTGTGATAAAGAAACTAATTAATGAGAATCCTGTAAAATCTCGCGCATCGATGAACATATTCTGATGATTAATATGACTGTAATTAATTGACATTTGTATTTTATTTTCATAAAATTGCGTAATTTATGAAAATTGTGCATTTTAATTTCCTCGAAATGCAAAAATTTGGCTTTAAAGTAATAATAATAAATTATTTTTTTCCATCAAATGAACCAAATAAACGGTATTTAATGTACTACAGCCCAGGAATTGATTTAAAATGCAAAAAATAAAATATTTACACAAATTTATTTTGTAATAAGTTAAACATTTTTCGAGATAACTAGCGTTCAGTTTTGGTGTTTGTTTTACAAATATATGTATAGAACGCTGGCTATCACGCGATTATTTGCACCCGATGTTCGAACAAGCTGATTTTTCCGTTTCACGCGTTCATTTTTTATTTACGACTATCAATGTATTCAATTAATTTCTTCCTCTTATCACTAATCGATCACTAATTTGCTATTAAATTACCACTAATGTATCGGGGTGACGATATATTAAAACAGATATTTTGCACGATTTATTTTTTTTAAATAAAAATATTATCATTGAAAATAGGAATTTTTTTATATTTCAAATAATTATTCTTTCTTTAACGATGCTTAACGATGCTCGAAAACATGTTCGCAACGCGCTTTAAACTTTTCACCAATATAAATGTAATTTGTCCACAGCTATAATAACTTTGTACGTTTAAAAAGCGTGAAATAACAAATAAATCAGTTAATATCAATAACAGAATGCTGTACGTGATTTATTATGTAAACATTTATTAATAATGTTTTCTATGCTTTGGTGGAAATTAAACATTGTGCACGATTAATATTGCCGAATTGCCGAACAAAGTTCGATGTCGTACAAAGGTACGTAAAGTTACACAATAAATATAAAATGTATACGATATGCATGTTTATATTTTAAATTTGTTGTTTGTGCATATTTTTTTATGATATTATATACATTTCCATTGGGAATTGTATATAATTTTAATACTTATAATGTGCGTATAATTGTATATAACTTTTTATTGTACCTACGCGAAATTATATTTGAATAATTAATGGCATAATAAATCAACAATTTCATTTTCATGATTTGGTAAAATCATACAAAAGGCATCTCTTGATATATTAAAATTATATAATTTTATTCCTCTCGAATTCAAGACTTTTCGGTTCAAAGTAACAATAACAATAATTTACGCGTATCTTTTCCAACAAATAAAATATATTTTCCTCTTCGATTATTAGATTTAATGTGCAACAATAGCATATTCGAAATTAGTTTGAAATACAAGAATATATTCGAGATATTTGCTGCATATATCTGTTTTAAATGAAAAAATACATTTTCATTGAAAATCGCATAATTTTGACATTTGTGTATATAAATGTAATTTTACATAACTTCTCTACAGTGCACGAAATCATATTTGAATGATCAGTGATTGTAAATCGACAATTCTCACGAATTAAAACCACGAAAGAAATCTCCTGATATATTAAAGTTGCATACATCAATTTTTTCAATTATCAAAAAAATATTTTTTGGCACAAAGTAACGATAATAATCCGATTTACATATCTTTTCCAAAAACAAATAAGACAGATTGTTAGATTCTACGTGCAACGATAGGCATATTTATCGAAATTAGTTTGGAACGTAAGAATTTATTCGAGATAATTTTATTTTATAAGGTATAGTAAAGATTATACATATGAAGTATCTCAATATGAAACAAAAATTAATTCCGAAATATTAAATACTGTGCGACAACAAAAATTAGTTCAGTAGATAAGAATTTATTTATTTGCGGTACGAAATATTAAATATTATTACGAAATATTAAATATTTCGAGATAATGATAGCTTTGGCCTTGGTATTTGTTTTTAGTTTTTACAGTGTGCGACGCGCGATCTTGGTCTTTCGTTACATACACAAAGTTACAAAGTTACCATTTGCAAACCGACACTCGAAAGGTCGTACACCGCCGCTTATGTTTACAAAACGATCGTTGCGCTATCGTTCCCATCCCGACATTCGAACCGACAGGAAGCCGCTCCGTGCGTATTATTATTACATTTCGAAATATGATCCAATAAGAACAAGAAGAATATCACAGAATATAATAACGAATTCGATTGGATGCACTCAGTGCGCACTGGTGCACATTAAAGCCGTCGCGCACAAATCAACGTAAAGTGTATGTTTAATATAAACGGGTTAAATCACGATTCAATATTCTTTATCGTACTATTTGGTAAAATATGTATTGGACATTTTATCGATCGAGGTATTTGCATTTTACTTTAAAGATTAGAGGTTAAATCAGTGTGCAATGGTTTTAATATGCACCAGTGCGCACTGAGAGTGCATTCAATCGAATTCGCTATTAGAAACACAATATCATCGTTCTCTGTTGATCACATCGGATTACTCATCTACGCGATTGATAAAATCTTACGATTCACACGATTCACGACTTATGTTATCTTGCGCGATTTATTCAAACGAATCATAGCGGGAGAAAAATCAGAATTTTAAATTAATGTTTTATCACGACTTGCAACGATTATTTCTTGAAGGAATTCGAATGCATCCTGCGTCACGCTTCGGATTGTATATCAATTTGGAAGTAATTTGCTTATCGCTTTCGCATCGAGAGCGCGGAGTATTTCACGAATTGTTCGATTAATGTGACGGAGTATCCGGCTCGCGTGATTTAAATAACGAAAAACTGTGATACATCGATTGTTTGATAGCTCTTGTATCCCGCGGAATTTACGTCTGTATTATATCACAAGTGTGTATATCTTGATTATATATTTTTGGACGGTTCGCTTGCACTTCAATTGGCTGCTGATTCGACTCGCGTTGTATTTGCGCGGTTTTGATACGAAATTGTCGACGTTCGGATATCCCGGCGAATCGTTGAATTTATGTAGCAGAAGGTAAAGCGTTTGTTAGTTATCTCGAAAGTGTCTCAGAAAGTATCGCGATTATGATAATCAATTCACTGTGGATCGCGTTTCCGCAAAGGATTCTCCATGAATGCGGAACGAAGGAAGCGATACGAAGACGAAGCCTTGGAGGCATCGAGTTCATTGGCAGAGTGTCGTATCGGTGAGTATCTTTTTCTTTTACAGTGAGGTAACGGATTTGTGAACATTATAGTCAAATGTATCATTCCACAGATCCGTTGCCTTAAAATGGATGGGCTAAAACAAATTATTGTACGTCTATTCATCGCGCATATAAAAATGCACATATAAAGCTCACAGATTAAAGATAATAATTATCGTATTATTGATCGATTTGGTCACTTATACGTTTTAAAGTCTACGCAATAAAGTGATAATATTACGTGGAGCACGCACACATACACACACACACACACACACAACAAACTATTTAAAACGTACAGCAAATATTCATTTATAGGAACAAATAAACAGAAAAGTAAAAATATATATATTTAACTTAGAGAGCTGAAATTTCGTTGTATACTTGACGAAAAGTGATATCGTGATAAAAATAGTAACGTAGCCATTTTCGCAAAAGAAAAATTATCTTTAAATGATAAAGATACTTAATATATGTCTTTACACTTTTTATCAAACAGACT